AGAGTGCTTCTTGATGCAAGGTATTTCTAGACACATTTGGAAAATAATAATAAAAGTGCTCGGTTCCAGAAACCTTGCCTCACATTTTTCATTTTCTCCCTAAGAAGAGTTGCAAGCCATGTGCCAAATTCCTCCCTAGTTGTACAATTGTGTGCATTTGGTTTGTTTGCTGGTAATTTTGCAATATTATACGTGCAAATTTAATTCAGGGAACAGAGTGCTTTTGAGATTATTCACAAATAAAATAAAAACATTTCTCCCTCTCTGCATTCGCTCCTCTCCTGTCACTTGAGAAGAGCTAGGATTTAGGTTCCTGCCTTGGAACAGATTGGCAAAACCAGTAACAAAACCTACATTAGTTCTCTTGTAAAAATATAAAGGACTGTGAATTGCAGTGTTGAGGATATCAGAGCTCTGTGAATCCTTTTATGCCTGCTCAGCAGTTCCTTCTTCCTTGCAATACAACACATTTTTCTCTTAGCCAGCACATTCATAGAACTCAAAAAGAAAATAAATACTTGTCATCATTGAGAGCCTTCTGCTGTGGCCGAGCTGCAGGGCTTAATCTTTGAGGAAGAACTCATTTGGGAGGAAATGTGCTTCATGCTTTCCTGTAAACAGCTCCTCAAGTCCGTTTTTCCAAAGGTGTGGATCTGTGCCAGGCTAAGCCACCCCAAGTCCAGGCTGCAGTTTCCCCACTTCCAGCTGTGCTGTGTGCTGGCTCAGGAAGCCAATGGGGCTGGATATTGTCCCTCATCCAAGCTTCCCCACAAGCACCGACACGTTGGACCACTCTGGCCACACTGCACAGGGAGCGCCAAATTGTGGGGGATTCGCAGGCATATTCCTCAAAATAGAAATATAAAGCTTGTTTTTTTCGTCAGGCAAGAGAAAGGCATTGTCCTCTTTAAGGAGATGCTGTGGTTGCAGACAGGTGTGGAGCTGGGTAGTTGGGTTTAGGCAATGCCCACCTCTGCCTTTCAGCACAAGGAATGGAGAGCATGTTCTGTCATGTTAGGCCTGCAGGTTGGTTTATCTTACTGCCCAGTGCTGTTAAATTTTTAGATCAGCTTAATTTTTAACTCCATTGCTCCTAGTTAAAAATTATGATGTTCTGAATGGAGAAAAAAAAAAAGAAAAAAAAGAATCAGGGGATGGGAAGGTATGATTTCTTCTGATTCTGGCAAGTGGAAAAATTATTCTAGATTATAACTTCCCTGCCTGAAACTGTTGGGTGATTTTAGTTTTCTTCTTATTCAGACTTTAGATCAACTGTTTGTAATATGGAAGCTTCTTTGACTTTTCTTTACCTAGATCAATTGTAAAAAAGCAATCATCTCATCCTTTCCTTTGGAGACCAGAGGACCTTGTCTCTCAGGTGGTTAGGGTTCTTAGGATCTTGGTGTTGGGTTTGCTTTGTAGTCATTAAAAACAACTCTTGTAATTTTTCTATACCATGTCTTCTGTGAAGATGTTACATTTTTGCAGCCAACAGACACATTTGGCTGGTATTCTTGAAATCGGGCTGAGTGTACCTTCGATTAAGATCTAAGCACAGCTTTGAAACGAGCTAAGTCTCTGGCTTCTGAGAATCACCTGGCTCCTCCCAGAAACTGTCATGGTGTTTGAATCTCAATTTTTATCTTCGGTTTCTATCATACCACAGATATTTACTACTTTCAGCAAACCCTTTGAATTAAGCTGGTCAGCTTCTGGAAATAAATATTTGTAAGTATCTACTTAGCATCTGTGTTAAGGGAGCCCTGTCCCTGGGAGACCCCTTCCTTTATCAGGATTTAAAGTTGAGGTCCTGAGTGCCTACCAAATAACCTAATATCTGGCCCGGCCTTCCCAAAGGAAGTCAAATTGGTTAATTTTTTTTTTTCTTTTTGCCACTGTTGAGTCTGACATTTAATCTGCCAAGGCATATCCAAGTTTAAATTGATTAAAGTGTTCTCATTTCCTGTCCTCAACATGTTGTGTAATAGCCGCCTTTAGCTTTTCTAAATATTTGCTCTGTTTCACTCCAGCACTGGTGGGTAAAATAATTACCATGTCAAACCAGTCGGTAGGATTCCTTGAAATCTGCTGGGTCCTGTGCACTATTAGGTCATGATTAGACTCTGTTACATACAATTTCTAGGTCATAGGCAGTATTTATGAGTTGATGGAGAGAGATCTTCACCAGCTGTTACCGAGAGGGGGCTGGTATAGTAATTTTCGTGTTTTAGCCATAAGACTTACTTTGAACAAAAATATGCTAATACACGTCGTTCATTTCATTGCCTTTAGTAAACTTTTCCAAACCTTCAGTATCAACTTCTTCTGGTTGTTTTTTTTGTTTGGTTGGGTTGTTTGTTTGTTTTTTTTTTTTAGGCTGGGAGTTCAGTTTGTAAATACTCTGAAAGCAAGTAATGAAAAAATGTCGGAGGCTTAGAGACGTTTCCATGGGTTTTGGTCAGCTTGGTGTCGTCATCATCTAAACATAGTCAGGCTGGACTGTGGAAGACATCTCTTTGGTCACAGCCTCCTTGTTTTGCCTTTCACAGGCACTGTCGTATTGCCCTTTTTATAAGCGCCTCCAGCTCTGTCTTGATTCTTGTTTTTGTTTGGGAAACTCTTGGCAAACGTTTCAATTCTGAAACACTCTTTTGAGTGCCCTGAAATTTCCTTTCCTATTCCTGCCCTCTTCAGAAGGACAGAAAACTATGCTCTGGGGGCTAAGCCTAAAGGCAAGAAGGAAACTGGATTCTGCAGGTTGGACAAAAAATGTTGCTAGTGTCTCCCAGAGGCATGTTATTTCTTCTTAAAGCTCCGAACTTTCAGAAAGAGACAGCACAAACATGAGGTCAGAAATCATGTGCTCGAATTAGCTAACAAATAATGCTTCCTGGCATCAGCAGCAACAGAACATATCATCTTCATTATATACAGTATGAGGCTGCGTTTAGCACCAAATAGAATTTCACGTTGGCCTTTTGCAAATCAGAGCTATCTCCATGTTAAAAGACAAACATGGATTCAAACTGCAGATTTGGATAATTTGTTCTGCCTACTCAAAAGCCAGTTATTTTCGGAGTGAATTTTAGTGATTTACGATCCCATCTCATATTTCCAAAAGACATTTCTTTACCAGTTTCCAGGGTTTTTTTTCCCAATCACTTTGTCTACTTTAGGTAATACGTAAATCTGTCAGAAAAGAGCATCATCCGTAACCTCTGAGGCCCCTTAGTGACAAGCCCCATTGTCAAAGGCAGGCACTTCGCCAGGAAACTGTGACTCCCAGAGTGTGCAAGGTTAGGGGGGAAGTGTACTATTGCCAGAGAAACTGTATTCCAAGTGGATTTGTGTGGAACAACGATATCCAGTGACTGGTTAAATTAGCCACAGATGTGTTTTCTACAACACTGTCCAAGAAGATATACAGTACTTTAAGGCTTGGTTCAGACATAACGATCTTCTGAAGTCAAATCAGATCCAAGCAAAATTGCATCGGTACTAGGGAAGCTTTAAAGGAATCGTGTAATCTGATTCAGGCCGGTGGATGAATCGGGCTGCTGCGAGCGACGCGAGGAGCACGTCTGCGGGAGATGAGGTGAGGCGGCTCGGCTCGCACACAAGGGCGACAGTTGGGCGTTAGCAGTTTGCCGTTAAAAGCCCAGCTGCGGCGGGTGGGCGCGGGCAGCCAGAGGGGCACGTGCTGCCAGCCACCTGCACAGAGCGTGCGTGCTGAGGGGCTCTCCCAGAGCTTTCTCCAGCTTCTCAGAACGTTCGAGGGCTGGGTTTTGCACTTGCCGCCTCCATTGCCGTGTTGCTGTCCCTGCGCCACTCCTCTTACACAGCGGTGCTGCCGGTTTCAGCTCGAGAGGATAATTACTCTGCTGAGGGAGGGGCACTTACTTAACATTGGGAGAATTTTCTCATGCTGAAAGCAGAGTACAGGTGACGTCTCTGGGACATACAGGAGAATTTTCTCTTGGCATCACAGCTCGAGCAGTACGTGGGATTTCTGTCCAAGACCGGTGTTGAGAAGCTCAGCTTCCGTCCCACAGCTGAGTTCTGACTCGTTCTTAAAGTTCAGATAAGACAGACGGTAGAGAGAAGTCCTGTTGAATTACAGATCTGCTACATGGTTTAAAGTTCTGGGGAAACATAAGCAGCTTAGTTACTGTAGTAGTTGGAACAGAAAGCAAGAGAAGCTTTTGTTGTATTCTGTGACCTATTTCTTTACCATGTTATTTACTTGAATTAAATTGAATGATGTATTAAAATGTCATCAAAAAGGGCCTGGAAGTATTCAGCTTAGATTCTTATTGCAATAAGCCTTTATGGTAAAAACGGAATTTAAAAAATAGCAGTTTTGTCAAGGAGTTGCAGGGATTATAAATAAAAAGAAAATTTTTCAAAATAGAAATACCATATTCTTGTGGATGAATTTTTACCTCAGTCTCTGTTTTTTGAAGCTTTATGAAAATGTTTTTAACACTATTGGTGTAAATGTGGAAACAGATTTGCTTTGAATTTCCAGGTATAGTTCCAAAGAGGGCTCAAACGCTGTGAATTTCTTATCAGAAATGTTACTTTCTTTTCCTTTCCTTGTTACCCCTTTGTAATAATTTCTTCTAATCAAGCAAATCGTAGTGCTTCCCATCCTCTGCTTCCAGTTTCCTCTCACTTGGGCTCTGAATTGTGCTTCAGGAGATTTTGCACTTCTATTCTTAGGAATTTTTGCAGGTCACATGGAAAGCCGTGTGTGTGTGCATGCATGCGTGTTTATCTTTAGACAGCACACCAATAATTAGAATAACCCTGCAAAGTCATGGCTTTGCTTCAGGAGAACTCATGGCAAGAAATGAAACATGCGTCTGTTTTCAGGTGTATTTTCTGATTTTGATCTAAGAGAGCCAGGCATCCTGACAGTTGGCAGAATGTGTTTGTTCTAAAATGTGATTATCTTGAAAACACTCTTATATATGGCTTTATTTCTTCTCTCTTTGCAGGGTCTTTGTAAACAGAAGTTTAGCCATGGAAAAGATAAAGTGCTTTGGTTTTGATATGGATTATACACTTGCTGGTGAGTATCTTCTAAATTTTTTTTGTCATTGACTTTGGAATACTGCCTCTTGTTGAGCAAAAACCAGTTACTAGTTGGACTGCTCTAGTTAGCAGGTGCTGCTTCTATTAGCAAGTATATAATTCACTACTCATTGCGCTTTCATTTTAGCTGTTTCCCTTAAATTTGTTATCTGCAAGCTGTATTTGGTCACGAGCCATATTGCTGTGGTACAGTTTCAAGTGATTGTGAGTGTTAAGGAAACCAAAGCCTTATAAGTTTAATTGCTTCATTAGATTCCACTATATTTTGATATTGCACTGAGTGCAATCTTGGCTTTGAATAATGGAGTGATTTCTTTTATCCTTGGTGCATGTGACAGGTTACACCTTTAGCCAGCAGGTTCTCCTGTGTCCTGCAAGAGTCATTTTTGAACAGGTTTTCCTCTTTCCCATTCCTCAGTTGGCCACATCAGTGATTCATTTTGAGAAGAGGCAAGGCAGGGGGAGTGTCTTCTGCCAGCTGAACAAGTTAATTTAGAAAGCTTTGCCCATTCTTTGTGGCAGATAGGCTTTGGGAGGTTGCGTAAGACCATCTAGTTTCATACAGTTTTTTGCATGACTTCTCCATCTTTCAAGTACTTGACAGGCAAGTTCTCTGAGACTTTTGATGATGGGGGGTTAAAGTCACTGTTTTCTGCATAATCAGACTTGCATGATTTATATATTTTAAGGAAAGAAGAGATAAAAAGCCCACTTCTGCTTTCTTAGGTCATAGCATCACACAGGCTGTAACTGAGGATGTCACTTAGAATCCTGACCTCTTCCTCATTACCACTTCCAACGGTGTGGATAAGAGGTTCCTATCACCCTTGATATTTCAGTTTAGAATTGTTGTGAATATAAACTGAGAAAATGTGAGGTGGAGTGTCAGGGTCACCTAGTAATAGATTGATGCAGTATGTCAACTATGGTCATCTAGTTACTGTGTCTGCCAAGAAGGAGTGAGAAATAAGTAATGTGGTTAGGGACAGTGTGAAGGTCACAGGAGCCAGGGTCAGTGGCTAAGCAAGGGGCAGCGAGGTTTCCATGTGCTCATGGCTCAACACAGTGCTGCAAGGAGCAGTCTTGGAGGCTGTGGCTGGTAATTGCAGTTTATATTTAGATCGCTTGCTTTTGTTCTTTTAAGCGGTTATCCATAAGACACTAGTTATATATAAAAGGTTTGGTTGCTCAACACCTAATTTATACATCTGTTTAAAGTTCCTGCCACTTCTTATGTCTTGAAGTATATCATTACTCTGTGCTGGATCAGACTACGGGCATGTGCTTTCTGTGTTTGTGTTTCCCAGCTGTGAGAGCCTTGTGGCAGTGCCTCTAAGGAGGGCAAACTGGTTATTCAACAACAAATGCTTAAAAAAAAGTTATGGGTTTCACTTTCATAACACAAAAACAACTTCTGTGCCTTTTGCAAACTGGTGACATTTCCCAAGGACTTGAGTGATCCCACTGGGGCTGGCATGGAGTGTGCTGCTAACTTTCATCCTGACAGAAGGAGAGCTTCAGCACTATCCTCACTTCTCCAACTGTTCATTTGACTCAAGTGTTGCTTGTTCCTGTAAACATGAGCAAATGTGTTGTTATCCACAAAACGATGCTTGGCTTGACGAGAGGCAAAAATGTGAATGTTTCAAATGTTGTAGAACAGTCCCCAGGGACATGGAAACCTGGGTCTTCTGAGGCTGGAAGGTCACGGTGCTACAGTTAAGCAGGCAAAGTTAGTGCATTCAGGAGAGCTGAGTGACAGGGTACGGTGCAGAAAAAGAAATGGGATGTGGTCCAAGCAGAAAACTGGAAATCTGGACCGCTCTGGGGTGAGCTGCTGTCCTATGACTTCTTCCATGGTACAACAGAGATAATAATTGCAGATCATTTTACAAGGAGTTGTGAGAATGTAACTAAGTTGGCAAGCCTTTTGCAGATGAAAAGCATTGTGCCTGGTAAGTACTATTTCTCTTTTTTTCACTTGCCTGGGAAATGAATATCAAAAATTATCCATTTGTCTTCTCATGTCTCAGAGTTAAGCTTTCTTCTCCATGTGGGATTTTGTTACGTGATGATTATTTGCTATGTATAACTTCCACACACAAGAAAAACTACTTATTCATTTCAGAAGTTTTAAAGAGTGTAGTGTTAGAATGTAATTGTGTTTATAATTAATTAATTGGAAATGAAAATGAAGAAGTGGGGCAAGAGAAGTATTGCAGTAGTATGTTGTAGTGCATTTGTTAAACCCTGTCATGTTTTCTGCCTGGGCATGCTATCCCTTACATAACCTTTCATAGAGGCATGCTACTGTCTAGATTAAAAAAGGAAAAACAATGTAAAAGGCTGTTTTATCTGTAATTTATCATCTATAAATGGTATCTGCATACCAGATGGTGCATGCTGAGCAGGAGCCTTTTGGAGACCATTCAAGACATGTAAATAGACCAAGGAAGAAAAACAGAAGTGTCTCCAGTGTCATCAGCTCCTCATCTAGTTTTCTGCATTTGTATTCTCACATATTGCTAAGTCATTTTTCTGTAAAGTTGTTTAAAAATATCCCAAGAACAATCTTCATATTCAGTGACTGAAGGCAGTCAGAGCTGTTGACCCTGCCAAAAACTATATGCCATGTCCTTTCCCCACTGTGTTGTGAACAGAGTTAATTCTGTTCTAACTCAAACCAGGACATTCCCATCAGAAATAAACTACTGGCATTCATCCCATAGTTTACAGTCATACACTTTGACATCTCAGAAGAAGAATGATTATTTTAGAACACATTGAATTACCTGTCTTGCAAAGAGGATGCTGTGGTATCAGTAAAAGAAAACACATTGTCACTCCTTCTTTCATCTTCTCAAGTCAGTGGCTGCTAGTAGCACCAAAAATCTTGCTTAGGAGGTGGTTCTGTACAAGAGAAATCAGAATCACTTGACTTATTTTGAACTTTAGAAGCTTGAGACGGTTTTGTCCTTGTACTTTATAAGTTTAAGGACGCAAACCTACTTACAATAACAGTGTTTTCTCTTCTGAACAGCCTAATTTTGGTAGGGATGCTGCATTTCCATTTTGAAGTATTTTGTTGCAGCTACCACACATGCTGCAGTGATCATGTGTTATACTACTAGCATGACTGAGAATGTCAGCTTGCCAACTGACAGCAGTTTTAGTATCATCATGTTACATTGCACATAAAATATGATTTCATGCACTGTTTTATAGAGTGATATTTCTTAGCCTTATTAAAGGACCACTTAACTCAGAACTGAAAAAAATTCAAGGCTGTCTGATACAGTTTTGCTACAGTGATTCTGTTTGTTTTCAAGTCAAAATTAGGTTACATTTTGAATTCTTGTTAATAGCTTCTATATTCTGTCGTTGTGTTTTTCTGTTTCCTTGCATAGGGTTGAGAAATACTGTTGATGGGTAGGTTGGGCAAGCAAAGTCTTTTGGTCTTGAAGAAGAGAGCCTGAAGGTTTTAGCCTTCTCTTCTAAGAAATTATGGACATTAAACTGCTGAATTTCTAGCCATTGTGATTACAGCTAGAATTAATTTGACTGCTGGGAGCTCAAAATAAAATAAAAGCAAATTGAAATAATTCTCACAGGTTTTAGATTCCTTATTTTCCCATCAAGGATTGCTGTTGCATCCTCATGGGATGCAACACTCATCCTCGTGAGATCTCCTAGATGTATGGAAACTCTAAGTCCCCACAGGTTTTATGTGCTGAATACACCAATACTAGAGGCTCAGAAATCTGTGTGCTAGGTGAAGCTGACTATCCCTTCCTATTCAGTCTGTTTGGTTTGCTCACGTTAGTGAATCATATTTAGCACATAAAAGATTGTTTCCTTTAAGGTAGATGTTATTGGGAGGAAAGTCAAGGGAGCAGGAAGAACAGCAGGGTTTGATTGTGGTTTGTGTGCACAGTTACACAGCTGCTGCTTAAAATCTTGGAGGTCTTTATGCAAGCAGGAGTCATCAGCTGTTTGGGCCCTTGCTGTCAGCAGAGGTTGAGCAGTTTCTGTGAGGTGACGCCGTTGTCACCCCCGCCGCCCTCTGTTCCCTGCCGCTGCCCTTGCCGCCTGCCGGGCGGGAGTGCGGCTCCTACCGTTCCGCAGGGTTCCCCTGCTCCTTGGGGAGCAACCGCCCTGCTCCAGGCTCTGCCAGCTCCCATGAAGGGCTCCGTTTGCTGTCAGGGCATAGCTGAGGATTTTGGAAAAATTCCTGATTAAATCCTTAAGTTAGGTAGATTTGAGTGTCCTTCTGTAGTGCACTTCTGTTTGCTAAATAGCTTCTTCAATTATCTGAATGATTCATCTCTGCTTATTCATCCTGACTGACTAGAAGACCACTAGTCAGTAACAATTCTGGTCTGCCTTCCTGTTTTACTAGTACTGTCAAAACTGCCATGCTTTGGTGAAGGAAATTGTGTCACGTAATCCAAAAGATTCACAGCCTTCTCTGTTTTGTGTTTACTGCAAATTGCAGTAAGAAAGGTAAAGGTATGTCAGTAGAGAGCCTTCATTGCAACACTCACCTGAGACTAGGACTTGGTGAGACCCATTGGAAGTGCAGCAGACAGAGGCTGGTTTCACAGAGTTTTGTTTGGCTGCTTCCTTCTCAGTGTGAGCTACATTTGTAATTAGTAGGTCAGGATCCAAGTAAGGCAGGAGGCCTTGGCATTACTAGGTCTTAAATGGGGCAGGTTGCACAATGAGGTGATGGATAGATGTCCCTTGACAGGATCAGGGCTAAAGCAGTGGGGTTCTCAAACTGGTTGTAATTTCACACTGGGCCATTGGCAGATGGAGAGGGAATTACTAAAAATTACAAACTCAATTGTGCTTGAAAAGATGCCTCTGTGACTACCCTCCTCCAAAAATTATGGCCTTGTTGAAAGCTTTATCTTCTGTCTCCGAGGCAGAGAAGATGTAGTATCAGTAGGCAGGATGCTTTCAGTTAGAATACTT